CTCTCCTTCTCTCTTCCCTTTCCTTTTCCCCTTCTTTCCTTCCTTCCCTTCTCTTTTCCCCTTCCCTCCTCCTTCTCTTTCTTTTCCTTAGTTCCATCCTTCCTTTCTTTCTTCCCCCTCTTGACATTTCCCTTCCTCACACTTTCTCTTCCTTTCCTTCTCTTTCTATCCCTTTCTCTTTCCTTTTCTCTCTTTTTATTTCCTCTTTTTTCTCTCATTTTCCTTCCTTTCTTCCTTCCTCCTCTTTGTCCCTTCCCTCCTCCCACTTCTCTTCCTTTTCTTCTTTTTCTCTTCTTTTCTTTTTGCTTTTCCCTCTTTTCCTTTCTTCCTCTTTCCTTTTCCTTTTCTTCCTTCCTCTATCTTCCTTTCCTTCTCTTTATCTCCCTCTCTTTCATTTTCTCTCTTTTTTTCCTCTTTCCTTCCCTTTCTTTTCTTTCTCCCTCCTTCTTCCTCCTCGATTCGCCCCTTCCCCCCTCCCTTCTTTTCCTTTCCTTCTACTCTTTCCCTTCCGCTTCCTTTTCTCTTCCTCTCTCCTTCTTCCCCTTTTATCTCATCTGTTCTTCTTTCTCTCCTTCCCTCCCTCTCCTTCTCTACCTTTTTCTTTCTCCCTTCCTTCTTTCCCCTTTCTCTCCTTCTTCCTTATCCTCTTTCTTTCTCTTTCCCCTCTTTCTCTCCCTTTCTTTCTTCCTCATCTCTTTGCCCCTTTCCCTCCTCCTACATCTCTTCCTTTTCTTCTTTCTCTCCCTTCCTCTTTCTTTTTCTTTTCCTTCCTTCCTTCTCTTCTCCTTTTCTCCCTTCCTCCTCTTCCTCTTACTTTCTTTCTTCACTCTTTGCCCCTTCTCTTCCTTTCCTTCTCTCTTTCTCTCCCTTCATTTTTCTTTTCCTTCATTTCTTCCCTTTTCCTTTAATCCTTCTTTCTTCCTCCTCTTTCTCTCACTTTCTTCCTTCCTCCACTCTTTGCCCCTTCTATTCCTTTCCTTCTCTCTTTCTCTCCTTTTCTCTTTCTTTTCCTTCCTCTCTTCCCCTCTCCTTTTCTCCTTCTTCCACCTCTCTTTGCCCCTTCTCTTCCTTTCTTTCTCTCCCTTTCTTTCTTTTCCTTCCTTCCTTCCTCTCTTCTCCTTCTTCCTTCCTCCTCTTTCTCTCCCTTTCTTTCTTCCTCCTCTCTTTGCCCCTTCTCTTCCTTTCCTTCTCTCTTTCTCTTTCTTTTCCTTCCTCTCTTTCCTTCTCCTTTTCTCCTTCTTCCTTTCTTTCTCCTGCCCCCTTCCCTCCTCCTCCTCCTTCTCCTCCTTCCGCACTGCCAGCGAGGGGAGTGAGTGAGTCAAGCGGGCGATAAGATCGCAATTTCATCCCGTCCCGACAGGGCGATCTTATCAGGAGGGGACTGGCAGAGGAAGGGAATGTTTCCAGCCTCCTGTATCTCTCCTCTCATCTTCAGCTGGGCTTCTTGCTATCACCGGAGCCATCGCAAAGGAAGGCGAGGGAAGGGGCCAGAAAGACCCCAAAGGCAGGCTGGAAAGAAAGAAAGAAAGAAAGAAAGAAAGAAAGAAAGAAAGAAAGAAAGAAAGACCCCTCCTCAAAGAGAAGGGTACTCAGGTGGCACAGGAAGGAGGGGCAGCACCCCACAGCTGTCAATCAAATATACCCCCCCCCCCAAAAAAGGGGGGAGCAAAAGTAGGGCCAAACTCTCCCCTAAAGCCCTGGGTTGGGGTCTTTCCTCTCCAAGACCCCCCCCCCCAACCAAAAAAGCGGACACTTATATTGTATCTGATGGGGCGAAATGGGGAGAAAGACAACATCTTTGGGACCCCCCTCTTTCAGAGATGAAAGCCAAGGAAAACCATAGAAAGGAGCCCAAAATAGTTAGTGCCACCCCCTCCCCAAATTATGCAAAGCAGCAGGCACTCATGGCAACAATAATATCATGGTAGGAATATAGTGCCTCTATATATCTATATGGCATAATATCATAATAGGAATATAGTATATGTGTATATGTGTGTATATGTGTGTGTGTGTATCTATCTATATGGCAACAATAATATCATAGCAGGAATATAGTCTATGGGCAACAATAATAATATAGTAGGAGTATAGTATATATATATATATATATATATATATATATATATATATATATGGCAACAATAATAGCATAGTAGGAATATAGTATGTGTATATATGGCAACAATAATATCATAGCAGGAATATAGTATATGTATATATATGGCAACAATAATATCACAGTAGGAATATAGTATATGTATATATAAGGCAACAATAATAGCATAGTAGGAATATAGTATGGCAACAATAATATCACTGTATGAATATAGTATATGTATATATATATATAGCAACAACGATAGCATAGTAGGAATATAGTATACATATATATATATATATATAGCAATAATATCATAGTAAGAATATAGTATTCGTATATATATGGCAACAACAATATCATAGTAGGAATATAGTGTATAGATATGGCAACAATAATATTGTAGTACATATATATATATAGTAGGTGTAGATCTATAATAGTAACAAAATAAAATAGAATTTATAATGCAATATATCTTATCAATCAAATAATAATATAATGATATAGCGTGTATTTCTATATGGCAACAATACGATAATAGTAGGAATATAGTATGTGCGCGTATATATGTATATATTACACAAAATAAAATTGTATTAATAACACAATATAATATGATATCAATAAAATAATAATATGATAAACTAATAATATACAATATATATCTCATTGCAATATATGATAAAATAATAATAAAAGAATAAGCTAATGATAATAATGATCAAAATAACAGAATTTATTTATTTATTTATGACATTTATATCCCGTCCTTCTCACCCCGAAAGGAACTCAGAGCGACTTACAAGTTATATGAACATACAATATATTATATTATTACCCTAGCACAATATTAATATTATATATTACTATATTGTATTCTACCACTATACTGCCATATTATGAGTAATATTACATGTAATATGTAATAATAATATAATGATAAGCTAATAATAATATATTATAGTAATGATGATAATTATATAAAATATAATAATAATATAAAGATAAGCTAATAATAATAATAAATAAATAAAAGGATAAGCTAATAAGAATACATTATATTATTGATCACAATAATATAATATATATCAATAAGGATATTAATATATTATAATAATGATTACAATATTATAATATAGTATAATGATAATCTAATAATAATATATTATAATACAGATCACAATATTATAATGATAAGCTAATAATAATAATACATTACAATATTGCTCACAATAACAAAATATATAACAATAAGGTAATAATATATTATAATACTGATTACAATAATATAATATACAATAATAAGGATAAAGTAATAATGCATTATAATAATGATCACAATAATAAAATATATAATAAGTTAATAATAAATTATAATAAAGATCACAATAATAGAATATGTAATAATGATAAGCTAATAATAATATATTATTATATTGATCACAATAATATAATATATTATTATTAGTTTATCCTTATTGTGATATATTATATTATATATATTAATAACATGATATTATTAATATATTCTATTATTCTATTATATTATTATAATATATTATATTATTGTTATATTGATCACAAAAATAATATAATATATTATTATTAGTTTATCCTTATTATGATACATTATATTATATTATATATCTTTATATTATATTATTATATATTTTATTATTTTATTATTATATATATATTATTATTATATTATATTATAATAATAATATATTATATATTATACAATAATATAATATATATTATTAATTTAATTATTATATATTATATTATATTATATATATTATATTATATTATAATATATTATTATTATTATATTATATTATTATAATATATATATATTATATATTGATCACAATAATATAATATATTATTATTAGTTTATCCTTATTATGATATATTATATTATATTATATTATTATATTATTAAATATTATATTATTTTATTTATTATGATATATTATATTATTGTGATCAACATAATATATTACTATATTGATCACAATAATATAATATATTATTATTAGTTTATCCTTATTATGATATATTATATATATTATATTATATTAATATATTATATTATTTTATTATTATTATATTATTATTGATATAATTTTATTTTATTATTATTATATTATATTACTACGATATATTATATTATTGCGATCAATATAATAATATATTACTATATCGATCACAATAATACAATATATTATTAATAGTTTATCATTACTATATATTATGTTATTGTTATATATTATTATGTAGATATTATATTATTGTGATCATATAATATATTATTATTAGTTTATCATTACTATATATTATGTTATTATTATTATATATTATTACATAGATATTATATTATTGTGATCAGTATTATAAATTACTATTATTAGCTTATCATAGCTTATTATAAAGATAAACTAATAATAATAATAATATATAATAGTGATGATTATCAAAATAATGATCATAATAATAAAAATATAGTTTATCCCAGGCCTGGGCCAACTTGGGCCCTCCAGGTGTTTTGGACTACAACTCCCACAATTCCTAACAGCCTACCGGCTGTTAGGAATTGTGGGAGTTGTAGTCCAAAACACCTGGAGGGCCCAAGTTGGCCCAGGCCTGGGATAAACTATAATATTCTCCATTAATATAAGGAAAAGCTAGTAAAAACAATAATAATAGATTATTATCAGGCTCAATAGAGACCTAAATCAGAAAGAGTCCCAACAAGCCAGAGGTTGGGAAGAAGGGCCAAAGTGGGGGAGAAGAGCCATCCAAGGAGGGAGAAGAGTTTGGAGCCGAGTTTAGCTTGGGAAGCAAGGGAAGATCCTCGGGAGGGGGAAGAAAGGGAGGCTGGTTGCCTGCTTACGTTTGATCTGCCGGGGGTTGCTCTGCTTCCTCCTGGACATCGCGGCCCCGGGCTCTCATGCCCCGCGGCTCCGCACCTTCTCTCCTCTCCTCTCCTCTCTCCTCCTCGTTCTCCTCCTTCTTCTCCTCCCGGGCGCTTTTTTCTCAATGGAGCCCCTCCGCCCGGACGGAGCCCAGCGTTCCAAAAGGGCGTGGCTTCGGCAGCGGGAGACTCCGCCCGCCTCCTCCACTGATAGGGCAAGGCGGTCCAGCTTCGGCCACGCCTACCGCGTGACGTAACGAAAGGGGGCGGGGCGGGAAGAAGGGAAGGAAAGGAGGGAGGGAGTTCCCTCTGAGCTTCTCTGGGCTGTGGCAGAGATGCGGTCCGATCCCGCTCCAACTTCCACGGCTCAAGGCTTGGGGAGCTGTTGTTCCACGGGAATGCTGAGAGTTGTAGTTTCACAAGGGCTCTTACTGGGAATACTGAGAGTTAGTTTCCTAAGGGCTGTCTGGGATGTTGGGAATTGTAGTCTCACAAGGGCTCTCAGCAGGAATGCTGGGAGTTGTAGTTCTACAGGGACTCTTCCTGGGAATGCTGGGACTTGTACTTCCATAAGGGGCTCTTACTAGGAATGCTGGGAGTTGTAGTTTCACAGTGGTTCTTGCCGGGAATGCTGAGAGTTACAGTTTCATAAGGGCTGCCTGGGATGTTGGGAGTTGTAGTTTCACAAGGGCTCTTAGCAGGAATGCTGGGAGTTGTAGTTTCACAAAGGCTCTTACCTGGAACGCTGGGAGTTCTAGTATCACAAGAGCTCTTACTGGGAATGCTGAGAGTTACAGTTTCATAAGGGCTGTCTGGGATATTGGAAGTTGTAGTTTTACAAGGGCTCTTAGCAGGAATGCTGGGAGTTGTAGTTCCACAGGGGGGGCTCTCTGAGATGATGGGAGTTGTACTTTCACAAGGGCTCTTACTGGGAATGCTGGGACTTGTAGTTCCATAAGAGGCTCTTACTGGGAATGCTGGGACTTGTAGTTTCACAAGCACTCTTATCTGGAACACTGGGAGTTGTAGTTTCACAAGGGCTCTTATTAGGAATGCTGAGATTTTCAGTTTCATAAGGGCTCTCTGGGATATTGGGAGTTGTAGTTTCACAAGGGCTCTCTGGGATATTGGGAGTTGTAGTTTCACAAGGGCTCTTAGCAGGAATGCTGGAAGTTGTAGTTCCACAGGGGGGCTCTCTGAGATGATGGGAGTTGTAGTTTACAGGGATTCCTGCTGGCAATGCTGGGATTTGTAGTTCCATAAGGGACTCTTACTGGGAATGCTGTTAGTTGTAGTTTCACAAGGGCTCTTTCTGGGGATGCTGAGAGTTACAGTTTCATAAGGGCTCTCTGGGATGTTGGGAGTTACAGTTTCACAAGGGCTCCTAGAAGGAATGTGGGGAGTTATAGTTCCACAGGGGGGCTCTCTGTGATGCTGGGAGTTTTATCACAGGAACTCTTCCTGGGAATGATGGGAAATTACAGTTTCACAGGGGCTCTTACCGGGAATACTGGGAGTTGTTGTTTCACAAGGACTCTTACTGGGAATGCTGGGCAGTTGTAGTTCCACATGGGGCTCTCTGAGATCCTGGGAGTTATAGTTTCACAGGGGCTCTTTTCTAGAATGTTGGGGAGTTGTAGTTTCACAAGGCCTCTCTGAGATGCTGGGAGTTGTAGTTTCACAGGGGCTCTTTCCGGGAATGTTGGGGAATTGTTGTTTCACAAGGGTTCTTGCTGGAAATGCTGCGATTTATAGTTTCACAAGGACTGGATGCACTACACTGTGAAGTTAATGCAGTTTAACTCTACTTCAACTGCCATGGCTCATGGCTATCAAATCCTGGGATTTATAGTTTCATAAAGGGCTTTAGCCACCTCTAGGTGCATCTACACTGTGGAATTAATGCAGTTTGACCCAACTCCCAACTCCCATGGCTCATAGTTATGGAATCCTGGGATCTGCAGTTTTATAAATGGCTTTAGGTGCATCTGTACTGTGGAATTAACGCAGTTTATTGACACCACTTTGACTCCCACTGCTCATAGCTATGGAATCCTGGGAGATATAGTTTTCACAAGGGCTTTTAGCCTTCTCTAGGTGCCTCCACACTGTGGAATTAATGCGGTTTTTATACTATGTTAGCTGCCGTGGATTAAACGTACTTCGGCGGAGGAAAAAAGTCCTTGGCTGGATCTATAGAATTGACGCAGTTTGTTAGCGCCATTAACTGCCATTATTATTATTATGCGTACATATATTTATTTGTACCCTGCCTTATCTCTAGCTCACCAATTGATGCAGACGTCAAAACAGGTTGAAATATAAACAGTATTTAAAATGGCTCGATGCGATGGAATTGTGGGACTTATAGTTTGCCTCTTTGGCAAAGGCGGCGAAAGGCCTTGCAGAACTACAGCTCCCACGAGTCCTTATAATTAATTGGGTGTCAATCTGCATTCATTCATAGATCAGATGTGGGCCAACTTGAGCCCAGGTCAGCGGTTCGAATCCGTGGAGAACAGGATGAGCTCCCTCTGTCAGCTCTAGCTCCCCATGCGGGGACATGAAAGTTAAAGCTGCAGAGTTCGGGCCTGGGCCAACTTGGGCCCTCCAGGTGTTTTGGACTCCAACTCCCACAATTCCTAACAGCCTACCGGCTGTTAGGAATTGTGGGAGTTGGAGTCCAAAACACCTGGAGGGCCCAAGTTGGCCCAGGCCTGGTTTAAATTATTATTATCATTATTATTAGTATTATTATGATTATTATTATTATGAGTGTGTCCTTATTATGTATTATATTATTGTGATCATTATTTTGAGAATAGATTATTATTATTATTATTATTATTATTATTATTATTATTATTATTATATGGTGCAAAGTGGTGTCGAACTGCATTCGTTCTGCAGTGTGGACGCCCCTTTGGCCTTTTGCACATTCCTTTGCTCTCTGGCTCTGCCTCCATTTCCCCAGCGGCGTTGTCTCTTCCTCTCCTTGACTTTCCCCCCTCCCTCTCCCCGCTTTTTGCGCTTCTAATATCGCCCCCTGATTAATTGGCACTAATACAAATGTACACAGCTCCATAAAAAGATGTCACTTGGCACACAATGGGACTTGCATCTGCCGGCACATTATCTCGCTTCTGCAGGCATGTAATTCAGTCCGCGGGTAGAAAGCAAGCGGGTGGCAGGAGGGAAAAAGAGGGGGGGGGGGGGGGACACAGAAAATTCTATTTATTCTAGTGTGTTATGACAATCTCTCTGCAAACACGGCTGGAGCAGAGAGACACGCTTGCACACATGTACAGAGACATACGCGTGTGGATGCACATGCACACAATTAGCGGCCTATGCTCGATCCATTGTGGAATGGGGAGAATAAAACTAAACCAAATATGTGTCCAGAGGACTGCGATGTGGAAAACAAGCCCTATGAGGAGCGGCTTAAAGAGCTGGGCATGTTTAGACTGCAGAAGAGAAGGCTGAGAGGAGGCATGATAGCCGTATGTGAGGGAAAGTCATAAGGAGGAGGGAGCAAGCTTGTTTTCCGCTGCCCTGGAGACTAGGACGCAATGGAACAATGGCTTCAAACTACAGGAAAGAAAGGAGATTCCATCTGAACATTAGGAAGTTGGGCCCTCCAGGTGTTTTGGACTCCAACTCCCACAATTCCTAACAGCCTGTTAGGAACTGTGGGAGTTGGAGTCCAAAACACCTGGAGGGTCCAAGTTGGCCAGGCCTGGATTGCCTTTAAATTAATTATTATTATTATTATTATTATTATTAGTGTATCCAAAGAAGAGGCGTCCACCACACTCCGGGGCAGAGAGTTCCACTGCTGAACGGCTCTCACAGTCAGGAAGTCTTTAGGCGCTGCATCCGGTGTGCCAATCACCACTTGGAGATTCCATCTGAACATTAGGAAGAACTTCCTGACTGTGAGAGCCGTTCAGCAGTGGAACTCTCTGCCCCGGAGTGTGGTGGAGGCTCCTTCTTTGGAAGCTTTTAAACAGAGGCTGGATGGCCATCTGTCAGGGGTGCTTTGAATGCAATATTCCTGCTTCTTGGCAGGGGGTTGGACTGGATGGCCCATGAAGTCTCTCCCAACTCTTTGATCGACCTGGTTCCTCATGAACATGAGGAAGAACTTCCTGACTGTGACAGCTGTTCAGCAGTGGAACTCTCTGCCCAGGAATGTAGCAGAGGCTCCTTCTTTGGAGGCTTTTAAGCAGAGGCTGGATGGCCATCTGTTGGGGGTGCTTTGAAAACTCGATCTGGAGAATGAGCCCTCTGAGGAGCGGCTTAAAGAGCTGAGCATGTTTAGTCTGCAGAAGAGAAGGCTGAGAGGAGACATGATATGGGCCAGGGATCAAGATGTGATGGGAAGTCATAGGCAGGAGGAAGTAAGCTTGTTTTCTGCTGCCTGGAGACTAGGACGCAATGGAACAATGGCTTCAAACTACAGGAATGGAGATTCCACCTGACCATGAGGAAGAACTTCCTGACTGTGAGAGCTGTTCAGCAGTGGAACTCTCTGCCCTGGAGTGTGGTGGAGGCTCCTTCTTTGGAGGCTTTTGAGCAGAGGCTGGATGGCCATCTGTTGGGGGTGCTTTGAATGTGATTTTCCTACTTCTTGACAAAGGGTCAGGTAGTTTTATATCGCTTGAAGTCCAAAATACGTGGAGGGCTGAAGTTGGCCCATGCCTGGAGTAAATAATAATAATAATAATGTATTGTCGAAGGCTTTCATGGCCAGAATCACTGGCTTGTTGTAGGTTTTTTTGGGCTATATGGCCATGTTCTAGAGGCATTCTCTCCTGACATTTCGCCTGCATCTATGGCAAGCATCCTCAGAGGTAGTGAGGTCTGTTGGAACTAGGCAAAGGGGTTTATATATCTATGGAATGACAAGGGTGAGACAAAGGACTATTGTCTGCTGGAGCTAGGTGTGAATGTTTCAACTGACCACCTTGATTAGCATACAATTAGGTCCAGCAGACAAGAGTCCTTTGTCCCACCCTGGTCATTCCACAGATATATAAACCCTTTTTCCTAGTTCCAACAGACCTCACTACCTCTGAGGATGCTTGCCATAGATGCAGGCGAAACGTCAGGAGAGAATGCCTCTAGACCATGGCCATATAGCCCGAAAAAACCTACAACAACCCAA